TATCACCACTGTCTCCTCTATGCTTAGCGCGCTTGCTTGGATCAGCACAAAGAATATGCGTCGCGTAATCTTCCTTGCATGCCTTCCTCTTACTACCACTGCTTAAGATCTCGAATCGCTTGACCGCTGCAGCTTCTGCAGCTGAAGGAGCACCTCCGTTGATCGTTGCAAGTTGCTTGTTTGTGGACTCTCATTCATGCCCCAGGACTATGACGAGGATGGCCTCCACCAATTTCAAGCCACATACCACACGTACCGGTATACCCTTTGAAACCAGTCGGAGACCAGCCGGATCGATCGCTGGTACGGATCAGAAGCAGCACATCACAAGTTGACGTGTTGGACACTCACCTGAGCGACCATAAGGGAATCTTATTGCATATTCGATCCCTACGAACCCCATTCGCATCGTAAAACCAGCGAGGGCATACCCAGTACACCCATACGCCGATTGTCTGGTCAAAGCAGCGATTGCGGGACAACTGGACGCTTTTCAGGACTGGATAGCTGAGGCAGACAAACCAAGCGCGATCGATGTGGCGAAAGCGTGGGACCTCACCAAGGTCAGGATTGTCATTGCGTGCAAAACAGCCAAAAGGAAGGCACGTAGTCGCATCAAAAACACTCGTAAACAACGCCTTCGACGCCTGCATCGACAACTCGAACGGGCGGAGCATGCACGGTACGGTGAAGTCGACCAAATACGCGACCTCACGGACAGTCTTGAGATGATTACATTACAGGACCAACGGAACGTCGGACGTACACAGCTCCTACGGCAAAAGCTCTCAGCACTACAAACTGCGCGAACAAAAGCGAAAATGCACAAGAGATTCCGAGACCATACATGGACTGACGCACGCACATGTAAAGCCTTGTTTCGGCGTATTTCGACCAAATTCGCCGATAACGTCATTCCGACGCTAGTTTCCCCGAGCGCTGTACCTCAGCGTGGGGCCCAGGACAAAGCGGAGATTCTAGCTGATGCTTGGACCCCCATTTTTTGCAAGGAGGCACCTGGCGAAGACGGAATGAAAGCTCTACTCTCGAGACTTGAGCCACCGCCGTTCGCGGCCATGCTGCGGCAGCTTGATGACCCGATTACGGAGGCTGAGGTGGCTGGAGCGATAAGAGTGTGCAAACCTGGTAAGGCCTGTGGGCCGGACGGGCTGGGCAATGGTTTTTACCGAGATCACGCGGCCGTGCTTACTCCCATTCTTACCACATTGTACAACACGTGGTTCGAGTACGGTCACTTCCCGCAATCCTTCCTTGAAAAAGACATTTTCTGCTTCAAAAAGACCGGAGACCTGTCGAACCCTCTGAACTACCGCCCGCTGGCACTACTCAACTCGGACTACAAGATTTTTACGCGGGTACTTGCAACTCGGACAAACATACCTTTGCCCGAGCTGATCCACCCTAATCAGGCAGGTTTTGTACCTGGACGCCAGATACACGATACGATTGATCTGTTCTCGGCGGCACGTCAAACGGCAGCGACGGATGATACCCAACGAGAGGCAGTGGTGGCACTACTCGATTTTGAGAAGGCGTACGCCTCGTTAGCACGTCTCTTCTTAGTCATGGTGCTGCAGTGGGTGGGTTTCCCGCCCCGTTACGTTGCCGCCATCAGGTTCCTCCATCATGGAACAACAATCCGCTTCCTCGCCAACGGCCTACGGTTCCGAAGTGTTCAGGTCACCAGTGGTATACGACAAGGATGCCCGTTGGCACCTCTCCTCTTCTTACTGGCACTGGAACCGCTCTATCGACTCATTGACATGATGGAAGCCATCTCAGCGATCCGCTTGCATACTGCAACACGGTCCGTCACACTGAAAGCAGCAGGTTTCGCTGACGATACAGCGGTATATTTGGGCTCACCCTCATAAATACCTGTCATGCTCCGGATAACGGGGAACTACGGCGAAGTCAGTGGGCTCAAAGTGAACCAGACGAAAACCCTGATCATAGCATTACATCCAAGTGGACTACTCTCAGGAGTGGGCACTGATAACCCAATTCCAGTACAGACTGCATCTAGCTTCCATCGCTACTTGGGGGCGCAAATTGGAGGAACCGGGATCACGGACTACACTTGGACCAAAACAGTGAAACAATTAGCGATCCGGCTTCGACTGGCGCAGCTCAAAACTCTTGCACCAGCCCAGAGAGCTATGATAGCAGCAGCGATCATCATGCCCAAGCTCCTATTTGTAGCCAGACACACTTGGCCTACCACTGCATGGCTTTTCGAACTCCAAGCGCGCGTCCTGAATTTTGTTTGGCACGGTTTATTTTGGGACACTGGAGTAAGCGGGAGTCATTGGATCAGTCAGGATATCGCGGCCCTACCACGGAAAGAGGGCGGGCTAGCGGTACCTAATGTCAAAGCCGAGGTCTTAGCATTAGCTGCGACGGAGGTGACGCGCTGGGCACTCACGAGCAACTGCACCATGCTCATCGCCGGGGGTATACTTTTTAGCGGCACAACCGGGTCTGGGGCATCTGAAACCTACGTGCCGTTAGGATTTCGGACATTTGGCATCTCGGGCCTACCATATCCAGATTCCCTATAGAAGGCAGGCCGCCAAATGCTTCATGCGACAGGAGACGAGGAGATACAGCCCCCGGGTCGACGAACGATGAGGGACATGCAACAGCTACTTGACCGCGAACTGCCGAGCAACGTGACGGACTGGACCGACGGCATGTGCTTGGTGAACATCGCAGCCTTCCACGGTCCCACATTAAGAGGATTGCAGGAGTGGTGTAGTAGCAGCAGAGGCACTGCCTGCCTGGAGTGGCTTCCGCATACGGAAGTCAGGGCTCTACAGCTTTACGACTTCGAATCAAAACGGGTGGACATATCAGCGGTCATGCCATTGCTGTCGACGGCGCTCACGAGCGTTGGAGACAATATCGTGTGGAAATTGGTTACGCGGACTCATATCGCGTTTCAAGCGAGGTGTGGCGGTGAGTCAGTGGGGCGAGTGTCATCCGCGCGACGACATCAATTGATGGTTTTCATCGGTCTCCTCCTGGCTAACTTCCCCGAACTGCTACATTCGCGGGCCCATATCGATGAAATGCGCCTTCACTCCCCCACTAAAACCCACCCGTTCATCCTCGAGCCTCCTGTTCCCACAAACGACAAACATGCTCGGCTGATAGCAAGCGGGGAAACTTCGGTGACGGATATTCCAGCGGACTCAGCAGCGGCGCTTCTCAAAGGGGCTCACCAGGCCATTGGGGGGAGCAAAATCATCAAGGGAATCCACCCGCACCCGAGCATGGCGCGCCTTGTTTGCCTATGGGCGGGGGGGGCGTCATTCTCATAAACGAGCGCATTACAGAGCAAAAGCAGCCAGGGCGGCCAGGATACGCGGAGCACAAGACTTACGGTTGCGTCACGAAGCGTGGGCTCGCCAATGGCCGACTATGGCTTCTGCGCTTGACCAATTCACTTGGAACGCGACGCGAAGGGTGTTAGGGCTCAACGTGTGGGGAGAGCAGCTACTATACCGGCTTAAAGCACGAGGGCTAAACCTGTTCGTCCGCAGTGAGAACAGGATTGCGTGCCCTCACTCGACCTGCGTCAATACGGAGGCGACTTTGGAACACGGGTTTTGGAGCTGCCCAGTAGCACACAAACTCTGGACGCGCTTCACTCAAACATGGGTACAACTGGGTCTTGAGGCGGATATCAACGATCCAGCCACCGTTCAAAACCCCACGCTTGACATCATCCCTCCAGGAATATTCGAGTTCATCGAGCAGACGGTAACATGGCACTCGCGCGAGCTGAAAGACGAGATGATCAAGCATGCCACTCTTGCTGCGCAGCTGTGCTGGCGCCTCGGCTTCATATCGGTTCTACAAGTTATCTGGAAGTGGAGGGGTGAATACATGCAGCCAGAACCCGCCACCTCAACGACACGATTTGAAGCGATCATTACTGCCCGATTGCATTATAACTACCGTAACATCGAGGCACACTACAGCGAACATACGTCCAAGGCGGTTCGTAGGGCTGCGACGAGCGTGGTAAACGCACTGCTTACTCGCCACAACAACGCGAGCCATGCGGTGATCCCACGACATACAACGCATGTTTTACTCTTCGACGGAGGGTCGCGAGGCAACCCAGGACCGGGAGGCAGTGGCTCGGTTATTCTACGACTCGAAACGGGGGCGACAGCGGTGACACCCATTTGGTGTGCCAGCATGGCGTTCGGCAACGCTTCTACTACAAACAATGTCGCTGAATATCAGGGGCTCCTCGCCGGACTCAAGCACGTAGTCGGCGCCAAACTTCCACAGCTGCATGTAATTGGGGACAGCAAAATGATCATCAAGCAGATGCAAAGCAGACGTCCTCCACGGGCACCACATCTGCAGAGACTTTACTGGAAATGCAGGAGACTCGCTGATCTAAGCAGCGTCCAATCTTGGACGCATCACTTTCGAAGCCACAACAAGACGGCGGACGCACTCGCTAATCTGGCAATGGACACGCACGCAAGCAGACAAATAACAGCACCGGACACAGGCCCACTGCCGATCGGGGTGTGGAGCAACGCGTTAACACACGCAGCTAATGATGTCAACAAATGGCAAACGCGATTTGTGGACGATGACGGACAGGAATACAGGACTAGTCATCCTAAAGTAGAGACCGAAGCACAAAAAGACTAGCATTGGAATGGGTGGTAGTCTCGGATATTGATGATCATTAGGTCACTAACAGAGCACAATATACCTAACTTGAAATTGAATTGTTTGTGGACTCTGAGATAATTATTGGCTATCAGATTCATAACTAAGAGCTAGTAAGGGCAATACAGACATACATCAAGATACGGTGTTGAGAGTTTCGTAAGGCATCCTAAGTTTCTATGAGCCTACTTTTGCATATATATCATATTCATATTTTTAAGAAAGTTGCAGTAATCCATTTTAAATTAAAAAAACTGATTTTAGTGATACTGAAATTTTTAATTCAGACCCCTGCAAGAGCCAACCGCGGTTCTTGCGGTGACATTCATCAGATCTCATCCTCAGTCACATGTTCAGCTGAAAGAATTCGAGAGCTCAACTCGTCACGAATTCCTTTATTTGCTTGAGAAGACGTGCTACATTACGCGCGACGACTTGTTCTTTGGGTATGCAGACGCACATCTCTTTACGTTCAATCACATGGTCACGGTAGCCGCTCGTGGCGTCTCCGTTTCATTGGCGCGCTGATGGCGGCGTCGCCAATTCCTCTCAACACAAGAATCAAACGCCTTGGCGACCGGGCGATGACTCACCGAATCCAGTCGGTGCTCGTTCTGTCGAGTTTTTCGCTCTCGCTGTCTTGCATTTGGTCTGGAGCGGGCATCACCGGAAGAAGCCACGCGTGGCCGCTGCCGCCGATCGAGCACCCGATGGCGAGCACGCCTTTCACGCTGGAGCTTACTCCGTCTAGCTCAATCGTCAGCGCGACGGTTAAGGGATTCTCGGTCATCCACATCACCACTTTCACTACCCTCGCGGACACCTTGAAACGCGACCTTTCTTTGGTCGTCCATCCAAACTCGACCCACACCCAGCCAAAAGCACGGGCGATCCCATCCATCGCCACAAAAGAAGTGAGCGTTCCCATCTTGGTGGTCGCCCAGTCAGCCCCTGTCAAGCCCGTTGCTGAATCTCGATGGACATATTGGTAAGCCAAAGTGTACCGGTTCACGTCGGTACTGGTATTACCGGCTTCAGTTTACCGGATTCTGTATTACCGACCGCCTTATCACAGCAACGCCTTTCAGGCTAACTGCTATACCAGTAAAACTCTAGCGGTCCAGCTCTCTTGAATTTAAAAAAGCCTTGTGAAAAGTCGATACAATAGTCAAGAAAATGAGTGCATTTGTTATTTAAGCATAATATATGAGCAAAACAACCAAGTAAATACCTAAATAACAAATCTACTAAAATGTTAATGCAAAGCCTTACCTTACCAATTTTTCCTCGTCTATTTGTATGTGATATGAAGTCGTATATAGTCCAATACTTGTTTTGGCTGAAGCTATATCACAATATACTGTGATGGCCTTTGCAGAGTGCATCCACCGTAGATTCAACGTCCACATTGCCGATTCGAAAACAATGTGAATGAAGGAAAATGCGATATGGGATTGTACGCTCATTAGGGAAACAGTGCACATTTTGTGCTCATGTACGTAATAAGTCGAGCAACAAGCCAATTAAAAAGAAAAAAAACGCATTGAAATTTACAATGCAGTGGGTATATACGGTGGAGCGTCTAATACAAATTATCAGGTCCAACAAAAAGGTATTTAAAAATATTAAAAAAAGAGCCCCATTAAACTAACAAGATAAAATCTGGAGCTTTCAATTTTATCCTTCCGCGTAGTGGGTCCATTTTCGTAGCCAATACACATCATGAAATACCAATTAACAGCGTTAAATATTCTTAAAGCCCAAAAAACATTTTATATGTCGCATACTTTATTGAAGGCTTTTGAAAACTGGCCCCGCGAAATCATACACCATAATCCAGGCTGGTATAAGGGCCAAGGCCTTCGAAAGGTGATATACCTGCGTCTGGTGAGCAGGGGTTAATAGCATCGGCACTTTGGGCAATACTTATGATCCTGATACAGTTAAA